CCCGGCAGAGCACACGTGCATGAGTGCACGCACATGCATGTGCACACCCGCACGTGTGCACGCTGCAACACGCATGCAGAAGCACAAGCACACACGTGCGTGCCCTGCTTGCACACTCGCCTCCCCAGCCGGGGCTCGCTGCCTCCTTCCCGCTGAACACCAGCTATTAAAATACCCTTCCGAGGTTTTTCACTGCGGCGCCTGCGAACACGCAGCCCCAGCTCTGGCATCGCCTCCCTGCCCGCTGGGGCCAGGGTTAGGGCTCAGACTTTCCGTGCCGTCGGGGCCAGGCTGGGGTCTCTTGTCCCCAGGTGACCCGGCTCCCTGGGAAGGCTGGTCGGGCTGGATGGGACCCAGTGGCGCTCAGCCAATGGTCCCAGTTGCTCGTGCTCTCTCCTTCCTCCTGTTAACCAGGGCACATTTCCTTCTCTTCTCTCTCCTCTCCACCGTCCAAGGGTCCAGGTTACTCTGCGGCCGTGCCGGTACCGGCCTCTCCCTCTGTGTCCCGACGCCCCATGCATCACCCCATCCCTGCACACGCGGGCTGGGGTCTCTCCCCGACCTCTCCCCTTCATGCAGGGAAGGGATATTTTTGATGTTTCTTTGGATTTTAAGCACAGCTGGTGGTTTTTCCTCCCCTCCTTGCAGGGCAGAGGATGGCTTCAGCCCTCCCGCTGCTGCTGCTCTGGTTGTTTGCCCCCACGGTGGTCCCGGAGGTGTTTGGCCCCGGAGATGGCACAGGTAACTCGGCATCATCGGCTGCATCTGCGCCGCTCCCTGCCCTGCTGGTGCCCTGCGGCGGGAGTCTAGGGGGGGGGCACCCCATGCCGGTCCCGCTCATGGCTCCTCTCTTTTCCCACCCAGAGGACCTCAAGGCTCTGCAGGTCTCCATCCCACGCCACCCAGCCCTTGACGCCGTGCTGGCGGGCGACATCACCATCCCCTGCCTCATCACCTACCTCGGCCCCCAGCCCACCACCGCGCCGCGCCGTGCTGGCGGGCGACAATCCCCTGCCTCATCACCTACCCCGGCCCCCAGCCCCCCACTGGCACCGCCCCCCGCGGGTCAAGTGGACTTTCATCTCTGAGGGCAGGGAGGTGGAGATCTTGGTAGCCCGGGGGGACAGGGTGAAGGTGAGCGAGGACTATCGCCTCCGTGCCTCCCTCCCCATCTTCCACCAGCGCTACACCAACGCCTCCCTGCTGCTCACCGAGCTGCGGCCCAACGACTCGGGGATCTACCGCTGCGATGTGCAGCACGGCATCGAGGACGGCCACGACATCCTCGACGTCAAAGTCAAAGGTACCTCAAGGTGGGGAGCGGTGGGATTCGGGGCGGGGTGGGGGCAGAAGTCCACCCCGCCCAGGTGCCCTCTCCTGGCTCAGCAAACCCCTCCTGCACCCGGGTGCAGATACACCCACGTGGGTGGGGGGCTGCTGCAAAGGAGCACCTGGGTGCAGGTGCCACCCATGCAGGTGGGGGCTGCGGTGAAGCCCCTTGCCCATACCCGTGTCCCCTCCGCAGGGGTGGTGTTTCACTACCGGGAGGGCTCCATGCGCTACGCCTACACCTTCGCTGAGGCGCAGGAAGCTTGTGCCAGGATCGGCGCCCGCATCGCCACCCCCGAGCAGCTGTACGCTGCCTACCTCGGCGGCTACGAGCAGTGCGATGCCGGCTGGATCGCCGACCAGACCGTCAGGTGGGCACCACCGCCGCCCGGGTATCGCGCCCATCGCCTCCCCCTTCACCCCTCCGCGAGTCGCCAGCCCTCCCCTGTGTTTTCCTGCCCCAGGTATCCCATCCACATGCCCCGTGAGGCCTGTTACGGAGACATGAACGGCTTCCCCGGGGTGAGGAACTACGGGGTGGTGGACCCAGAGGACATGTACGACGTGTACTGCTACGCCGAGGACCTCCCAGGTGCCTGTGGTGCCACCAGCCCCATCCTGCCCTCCCCTGCTTTTGCGGCCGCGCTAACTCACCCCCATAACCCGTTGTAAACCCAAGTGAAAAAGCCACCCTGAACCGCAGGCGCTGGTTCCGAAACCTCTGAGCTCTGCAAAGCTTTGGACACTTCGGTGCACACAAGCGCGGGGACTTGCTGTGCTGCTTCCAGAAGCGTTTCTGGTTTGGTTTTGCGGCGGGCAGGGCTCTCTCCCCGGCACCAGCCGGCGCCCATCCCTGGCTTCAGGGCTGGAGGATGCCCAGGGTGATCTGCCCCAGGTTGGCAGCACGCCGTGGGTACAGCACTGCGTGGTGTTTTGGGGTTTGGGCAAGCTCATGCCGTGCTTTGCATGCGCTGGGGTGCTGCATGTCCTGCAGCTCAGGCACATCCCGTCCGGCCGGGATGGCCGGTCCCTCCTTCGGGCCCCGATGGGGCTCCCCACCGGTGGCTGCGGCTGCTGTGGGGTTGGTTGGGGTGACGCCAGGCAGGTGGCAGGGATGCGGTGCAGGTTGCTGGTGTATGGGGTGCGATGCGCTGGGACGGGGAGACCGGTGCGGTCATGGGGGCTGGCACGCGGCGTGCCTTAGGGCAGCGGTCTCCAGCCCTTCTCAGCATGAAGACCCACCACGGCGTCCGCTGGGCTTGCAGGTCCCCTTAGAAATGTCCCGTATGTGGATTGCGCCGTGCAGGGCACGGACTCGCTCCTTTGTAGTCCCTGTCATGGATTTTTTTAGTCTCAAGGTCTTTTTGTGAGGGCAGGTATCCCACGTGGCACGAGAGCTCCGGCCGTGCCCGCACCACAGTTGTCGTGTGCATGTGCAGGAAGACCGGAGACAGGCAGGGAGGCAGGCCGGGCCCTCCAGCCCCTGGTGCTCCTCCTCGCGAGGACCACGCTGGAGGTCCCCATCTCCAAGCCAGCTCCTGGGGTTGTGCAGAGAGCGGAGGAGGCAAGGGGGCTCCCGGAGCCCATACCCCCCTCCCCGGCTCTGACGCCCGTCTCCTTCCTCTCTTCGCAGGGGAGATCTTTTTGGAGACGGCCCCAGACAAATTCACGCTGGTGGAGGCGGCGGCGCACTGCCAGGCGCTGGGCACGGAGCTGGCGAGCACGGGGCAGCTCTACGCGGCTTGGAACGCGGGGCTGGACGCTTGCAGCCCCGGCTGGCTGGCCGACGGCAGCGTCCGCTACCCCATCGTCACCCCCCGGGAACGCTGCGGCGGGGCTCTGCCGGGCGTCAAAACCATCTTCCTCTTCCGCAACCAGACGGGATTCCCCGATGCCCAGAGCAGATACGATGCGCTGCTTTCGAGAGGTAAAGAGGGGCACACCCCCCCCCCCCCCGCCCCCCAGTGCCACCG